CATACTGATAACGAAAAATCTAGAATCGATGGCTTTCGTATATTATATATGGATAAATATACTATTTTACCAATCATCACCATGACTACCAGATCGACTTCGGAATTCTGTTTACAGGGCCATTGAATACGTTCTGACAGCTAGAAGTCTACACATGTATAAAGTTATACTTTCAGAGTACAGTCAAAATATCTATGGGGCTCGTTTACATTGGATCTTGAAACCGGTTTTCTAAATCTAGCTCCTGATTCCTGTATTAATTATGCCGATTGTCGGACCGAAATGAACTGACTGGTTATCTCTGAAGACGATAACTGAAAAAATGTGGTTCAATCCTGACATTTGCTAGTTGACACAGTGGTAACCCACGTGCTCTTCATGCTCGATGGGTCCGGAGCTGAAATCCTAGACGGGACGGTGGATATTCACCACTGATGAGCTCTAATAACAGCAGAACTCGAATCTGGTGTTTCCAAGTTTATCGTTGACTGGAGGAGTTGCAGAATGTGCTTGGAGGTGAGGTCTTTCTAATCAATTATTACCAACCATTCCACATTACTAATCACAAGTATTTGTCAGTCGAATATTGTGGTAATACAGACTTCTGTGACCGCAATCCATGCATGACTAGGTACAGTTTCATGTCACCCAATCATCGTTCAGGAAGCTCGACCAATGGTACACCGGGTGAACATGACATCCGAGTTAGCACATATGATACATCGACGCAAACGGTTACGTGACTAGAGGATGCTCGTTCAACCAATCATATGGAGTATTACATTCTATAAAACATGATCTAATTCCACCAATAAACATAAGCATTTGGTACTACAATTCCTCGTGTATTTCATTGGTGTCCGCAGTTCGGGTTGGAGCCAATTCAGTTCTGAGCAGTACAGTACGCATTCTCGTATTCCTAAATTCAATAGTATTCCGATTACCACAGCTTCCCAGACTTTCACATTCCTATGAACCGGCGAAAACTGGCTGACAAAAAGACTGGTACCAGTTGTGTCTAAGACAACACCATCAAGGGCGCCTGGTGCCTNATTCTAAATTGATTGAGCCATTCGCACAAGGTGATAACCGTCGACCGTGTTACTCAGGGGTAAGGATTTGAAGTCCAAGCCCGAAAGTACGCACTGCTGACGAGTGCCAAACAGGAGGACGAAACACCTGTCGAGTGCTCTTTGTCGGTTATCACAAACATTTCCATCGCATTTAAATGCATACAAATTAACGATCACCCTACGAGTGAAACTCAAAGCCAAGACGTAGAAGCTGGAACTACTTCGCGAGACAATGTAGACTACCAGTCAAAACGAACGAATTGACAATTAAAGCCCGACGGACAACCCGCATCTAACCAAAAAGATATCCACGGACTACCACAACGTCGGAGCTGTCGATCAACGTATCTCACACTACAATCGGGTCAAACCAGCCTGAACTGCACGCGGAAGAAGAGGCAACTTACGTGCCAAGTGCAGACCAAAACGAACAGGAGTTGATCAACAAGATGAGGCATGAATTATCCTACTTGAGGTTAATAATTGATTTTATATAATTGAATGCATACACCAGTCGTTTTTGAATTGAATCAAAACAACGTTTTACCAGCCAACTCGCCTTCTCGTTACAATATGACTGGGTGTCGTAAACAGTCGCCCCCTCCCGTGCATCTACTCATCATTCTCGTAATCCCAATCGATACGAATTCTTTGTTCTCAATTTAACGCTCATCTCAAAGTTCCAATCTTCATTCCCCCCTTTTATTCAAAGGGGGCAGCCAATATACAGCAACCTAAATTGGCACATAAAAATGCATTGTTAGTGGTTGCAAAACCTGGAACTAAAACTGACCGGTGGATCAATAGAGCGGTATGGAAGTGATACTTTTTATGTTTATGTGGAGGGGTCACAAACTACTCAAATGACTAAGTATCTCCGCATCACACTACGAATGATGTATACCCATTCGTTTCACGGAGAATCATATTTGTGATCCAGTAACAGATTAAATTAAAAAAAATAATCAAACAATGGATGGAGACAGAAAACAACAGTACATTTGACCCCTGTTGCACTTTCCGTTCCTCGTCATGTTCTCTTCCAGGTGAAACAATTTCCTCTCGGTTACATTCGTGCACCAAAAACCCGGGGGTTAATCATGGCAGTTTGTTCGCAAAAACATCTCTATAAGTTAATAGAATTTTCAGGCGAGACTTTTCGATTTGTATCACTTGTCTTCAACGATTTATCTTCTATCGTCTAGTTTCAGTTCAGTTTTTACAACCGGTCACCCTGCGCACTTTCGTGCGCCGATTTTGGTTGCTGTCTTTTGGTGCCACATTTGGACAAAAGAGCAGATTGAATATTGGAATGTTGAAGGCAAATTCAAGCGGAAGATAAAGAATTCATATAGAATAGTGATAGGGGAATAATGATTGGATGCACAAGTGCCACTTTTTGCGACACCCATCCATATCACTCAGTGTCTCTAACCATTGGTGACCATCATCCCGAGGTCCCCAACCAGGGAGCTTAACCGGACCTATGTGACCCAGTTTCCTGGTTCGGGTTTTCATACCCTCATACTAGGTCTTAGTTTGACCACCCTTGATCTTTTTCCAACGGCTAACTGCCTCGGCAAACATCGCTCGCCGCAGCAACCTATCTTGTGACATGCGTAACACATGTCCTAACCATCGTAATTGATGGAGGTCGATCACTTGATCCAGTGGACGACCGCGAATGTCTAAAACTCTACACCTAACCTCAGCATTGCACGTCCGGCTGCCTCACCAGACTGGTGCAATCCGACGTCAGCAGCACTGTTCGAACACCGATATTCGATCGTACAGTACTGGAAGCGGTTTTGAGCTTCATGTGGCACTGCATTGGCTAATTTTTGTACATTTGATCATGTTTTTCTTTCATAGTTTGCTGGGTCTCTTAAGCTGCTTTGTATTGTTTGTTTATACAACTGTCAGTCTTTACACTGTCTATCATATTTCCACAGCTGTTGAGCATCCCAATCTTCACATACACACACACACACGAGATTTCCTATCATACTCACAACTCATATTGCGATCACATTTCGTTTGGATGAATCAGAACACCCTTATAGAGTCCAAGACGCTTTGAACCGCTTGGCGATCGAGGTATCCGGGTTTGGCATGTGCTTGTTCAAGACTGGCAGGAGACTGTGTCTGCACTCACCCTCCGTGATGATCAGCTTTAACTACCTCGGAAGCTTGGTCGCAGTTGGTGGTGGCTTTGGGGAAGAGGTCAAATCACGATTAGCGAAAGCTAGAGCAGCTTTCGCCAACCTGCGACACGTGTGGCGCCGCCATGACATCCGACTATCCCTTAAGGGAAGAGTGTATATCGCCGCAGTTCGTAGCGTTTTGCTTTTCGGTTGCGAGACCTGGCGTCTCCGAGCAGAGGATGCTAATCGACTTTCTGTATTCGACCACCGATGTCTGCGAAGCATTGCTCGTGTCTGGTGGGAACATCGGGTGAGCAATGACGAGGTCCATTGTCGTGTGTGGATAGTCGTCCTCTAACAGAAGTAATCGCTCTACATCACCTCCGGTTGCTTGGTCACGTATTGCTGTTGTGTCCGAATCCCGATTGATCACAATGTACACACAACACGATATCACACGACGACACACAAGGAACAGACGTACCTCAACGGCCACACTAGTCGTCTAGCCCCACAAGTACGATTACAGCACCGATTGGACACCAGGAGCACTAGTAACCTTCTCCCAGCTACGTAAGCACGAACACAGATAGTACACAGCGAACGTGTACTTGACACACGGGAAGCAAGTCGATTAATAAGTTTTACTCTGATGCTTATATGTGACTCAAAATAGCATCGATTAATGCAAGAAAAAGATTGTGCCAATCAAGTACACAGTTAGCAAAGTTCAACTGGTCATAGTTCACGGATCAGATGGATGGAGTGAATGTTTCCGTATGACGCAATATCATTGATTAATCTCCGCGAGATTAGCATTGATTCGAGATGCCCCTAATTGAAAATACTCGAAAAATAGGTAGTTTTAGGTAAAAACAAGTCTTTTTACCTAACAATTGCGTATGCCTGCCCATCGACTACCTTTCTGCGCTCTCTTTGCATGTGCCGGGCAAGGCT